AAAAATAGACCAAAAATTTATTAAAGTAAAGAGAAAATAAAGAGAAAGTAACTAAGCTGATGTCCTGTCCGTTCGTTCACCATACAAATACGCTACAGTAAATTAAAACTATATTAAAACATTACTAAAAAATTTTTGCCCCCCCCCCCTGGAAAGTAAATCGATTTTTTGCCTAAATAAATATCAAAGTAGATAGATCTATAAAATGTTAAAAAAATTATTTAAATCTAAATATATCCAATTGGGCAACTTTTATAACGTATCTTTGAAGACAGAAGAGTTCTCCTTGTTTTTCCCACAATGGCGCCGTAAATGACAAAAGATTCATGAACTGTAACTGTAGGCTACCTTTTTTTTTTATCTTGTTCAATTTTGTTAAATGGATATTGTACATGAACACAAAGACGCTATTTTAGGCCTTTAGTTCCATCAGGTGAAGAGGAAGTTTTAATTTTATATCACTAGAAATAATTAATCGTGCTTAAATTTCATTGCCTTAAGCCTTAAGCCTTGGCCTTGGCCTTAATTTTACCTTACCACCCGGCACATGTTTTTATATTGTTGCTTTACTTTTAACTTTTACTTTACCCTTTACAGTACTTAACTTTTCCTAATTTAGGCGTGCTAGAAGGCTGGCACATAATTCACATTGGGGGGGGGGGTTGGATTATTTTTATAACATGCTAATCAGTGTCATTAGTGATTAGTCCTCTCCATTTTCCTGTATGCCTGCGAATCCTGGACATTAACTTTAACAGCCGATCTTGAAAGGAAAATAAAGGTGATGGAGACGGAGATGAGATGCTTCAGAAGCATTTTTGGCATATGCTATAGGGAAAGAAAGGGTTCGTAGGCAATTGGGGAGTACGATGACCTACTGGTGTCTGTGAAAAAACGCAAACTACAATGGTACGGCCACGTAATAAGGAAACAAGAGCTTGCCAAAGAAATATTGCAGGTGACCACAAGAGGAGGGAGAAGAAGAGGAAGACAAAGAAAAAGATGGGAGGATAAAAGCAAAGAGTGGACAGGACTAACACTGGGCGATGCAGTGGTTAGTAGTGCTGAAGACGGAGATGAATGGAGGAGGATGGTTCACATGTCATCTGTGACGCCCCAACGGTCCAAGGACTAAGGGACATGAGGATGAGGAGGATGGTTGTACGCCGAGACCCGCCAATTCTATGATTTTCAGAGACTCTGTGAAAAAATATTATGAAGAGTTTGATAGGCATCAGCATGATTATGATTATGGTAATTTTTTCCGATAAAATAAAATACATTTTTGGTTGTTGAAGTTTTAGCACTTTCTAATAAAGATCTGGCAGTGAATGGAACAAGAAAAACGATTGGTTGTAATATTTTTTTAAAGTTTAGACAATCGTATTTTATATTATGTTATGTACGCACTGAGAGGGGAGGTGGGGGTTGTTGATTAAGGAGATTTTGCACATGAGACGCTTGGGGCTAATGGTAGTTGGGGATGCCACGACGTCTTTTTTCGGTGTTTACATGTGGGAGTCATTTCCCTTTGTTTATTTTTAGATAACTAATATTTTTATGTATTAGTATTAATTCGCCCGAGGAATGTTTAATATTATATTGTATTTGTTTCTTTTGGGTTTTTATTTTCATAATAAATGAAAAAAAGGAATATAATTTTTAAATATAGATAGACATGAAATTTTATTTTGTGTTCTATTTTGACAAAATGGTGAGAAATTATTTTTTTTTGTTGGGTACTTTATAATGATGCGGATATAGAAAGGAGTGCTTAAATATTACGTCTGTTGCTATTCTTGATTGCTTGATCGGGTGCCCGGTAAGTTTAAAATTGGTTGTTGTTTTTTTGCATCGTCAGCAGTTTTAGTTAGATAGATATTGGGTACATTTATGCAGATGGAGCCTGAATTTAACGCCCGTTTTTGGAATCACCTGGAAAGTCAGGGCGAAAGGAGTGTGATAGATTGGCTCATGAGTACCGGTCTCATTGCAGATAGATACGAATGTCCCCATTGTAAGAAGGGTATAAACTTGTGTGCATGGGCAAATGCTTCAGATGAGTTTGCATGGCAATGTGGTGACAAAAGTCATGGCAATATTGTGCATAGTTTAAGGAATGGATCGTGTTTTAGTGAAAGTAGATTGACGTGTGACATTATGTTATTGACACATTTTTGGTTAAGAAAAATGCCTTTGGGACATATTGCGAAAGAAGTAAGCATTTGTCGGGGTACCGTAAAAAACTGGGTCAGCTTTTTGTGGCGAGGTCTGCATGGAAGCGTGTGTTGTGATGAGTGAGGGCTTAGGAGTGGGTAAAATTGTGGAGATGGATGAATCCAAATTCGGCAAGCGGAAGTATCATAGAGGCAAACGCGTAGAAGGAAAATAAGTGTTGGTGGGATTGAAAGAGGATCAAACAAAATCTTTTTCAGGGCTGTTGAGAACCGCGGTAAAGACGTCCTCCTGGCAATAATTAAAGAATTAGTGCAGCCAGGAACCACAATAATTTCTGATTGTTGGAGGTCTTACAACTGTAGGGTTTCACCAACTGAGGGTGAACCATACCATTGAGTTCAAACACTCTGAAACGGGCGCACACACCAACACCATAGAGGGCACCTGGAGTGCAATTAAACGATCTCTGCCCACAAGAACTTGCCCTGGGGAGGAGCAGTTCAACTCATATTTATTTGAATATATGTGGCGACACTTATGTGGTAATAGAGTTTAAATGAGAGAATTTTTAAATGCTATAAAAATTGTGTATACAAGATTCTGATGCATAAGGAGTGAGTACAAAATTATTGAAATTTCATTGATTTTTAAAAAGATTATGCTCGGGATAGATAGAGGGTTAGGGTTTTTAATAACACATGTTTTGCACTACTTTTTGAGCTGCCATCTTGGTTGACACTTCACATGACTTCACGTGTTGTCAACCGGTCAACCAAGATGGCGGCCATTGAGAAAATAGTGGCATCCACAATGACCATTTACCAACGCTTGGATAGGGGGATAGGTGGGTGTGTCAAAGGCAATAAAAATTCGAATGCCATATAAATTTCACCTCAACCTATCGTATTGATGGTAATGATTGTCATATTGTTGCTTTGTGCGTCACAATGAACTACCTAGATGCGCCAAC